AACAGTCCGAACACTGTTAGCGATGGCCAGGAGACAGCTGAGAGCAGTCAGGAGACTGTAGAGATGCCACGAGGCTGGCATACTATCCCTGCAGAAGCAGAGGCTCCAGATCGACATTCGAACAACGCTCCAAGGAGAGAAGAGATTAGCAGCCACATTGACGAGGCAAACGTGTTGACGTCAAGAAGACAGCGACGTACGCTGGGATCATATTATGCAGCATTTGCCCTGGCTGTCAATCCGTCACAATCTGTGAAGCTACTGGGTGAGGCACCTCGTACGCGACTACACAGAGACCAGCTCCCAGCACCTCCACGTAGGTGGAAAGACCTAGAACGACACCTACATGGACAGGAGTTCCAAGAAGCAGCACGTACAGAGTTCACTAGCTGTGAGAAAAAAGGCTGCTTTGCAACGACAGCAACAGCAGCAGCAGCAGCTGAGACACAGATACTGCCTCTGAAGTGGGTATTCACGTACAAGTTCGACGAAGACGGATATCTATACAAATACAAGGCAAGGCTAGTTGTCAGAGGAGACCTACAGGATGAATGGGGAGACACATACGCAGCTACACTAGCAGCATGTGTGTTCCGGCTGTTGATGGCAATAGCAGCTGCATTTGGCCTACAGGCATATCAGTACGATGTGCTCAACGCATTCCTCAACGCACCACTAGACCAACTCGTCTACGTACGTACACCAGAGCCATTTGTCCAACAGATGGGTGAACTACTGGAGTTGAAGAGAGCCCTATATGGCTTGAAAGACGCGCCACTGTTGTGGTACAAGCATCTGAAAGAGACATTGATAAGAATGGGATTAAGGCCAATCAAGGACGTACCGTGCCTGTTCACGAGTGATCAACTGATTGTATTCTTCTACGTGGACGATATAGTTGTTCTGGTACACCCACAGCAACTTGAGTATCACAGTCAGTTTGAGAAGCAACTTAAGGCAGCGTATGACATACGGAGTCTAGGAGACCTGAAGTGGTTCCTGGGCGTACGCGTAGTAAGAGATTGGACCACAGGAACTATACGACTGGTACAAGACTCGTTCATTGACAAGGTGTCAGTGAAGTTTGACCTGGCTCAAACATCAGGAAGATACCCAGCCGTACCGTTGACCGAGAGCTACCTGCAGCCGAGCGAAGAGGAGCCAAACATCAACCGTACACAGACATACCAGCAGTTAGTAGGATCACTGGCCTATATATCGACATTCACAAGGCCTGATGTGTCACGAGCACACTCAGTCTTAGCACGCCACCTACAGAACCCTGGACAGAAGCACCTAGCAGCTGCAAGACATGTGTGGAGATATCTGCTTGGTACCAAGTACCTTGCTATTGGAGCGTGTAAACAATCAAGGAACAACACAACTTACATCAACCAATTCAACAATCTGTCCACGTTCTATGGAGCATCTGACGCAGCGTTTGCTGACGATGTAGAGTCCCGACAGAGCTCGTATGGATACCTGTTCAAGCTGTACGGCATGTGTATAGACTGGAAGGCAACGCGACAACGATCTGTCACAAAGTCGACTACAGAAGCAGAGCTGATGGCATTGTCAGTAGCTGGAGGAGAAATGGAGTGGTGGAACAGAGTATTCAAGCACATTAACTTCAGCCCAGATGCGAGGCCCATCATCTACTGCGACAACGAGCAGACTGTAGGTATAGTCACAAAGCAGGACGACAAGCTACACACGAAGCTACGCCATGTGGATACGCATCAGATGTGGCTCAGGCAGGAAGTACAGAGCGAGCGCCTACACATTGTTTGGTGTCCAACAGCAGATATGCCAGCTGACGGACTCACCAAGTCACTAGTGAGGCAGAAGCACGACAAATTTGTCAAACAACTTGGCCTTGACAGCGTAGAGCGCTACGTTGTAGGACCTACGCACGACGCTGAGATACCAGATCCAGCGGGACTCACAGGATGGTACCGATAAGTACAAGTTCAGCTTTGTTGTTCACGGCAGCTGGGGGGGTGTGTTGCGGTATCAGACTGCTGCAATATACGTTGCACATGAGCCTCAATACACACGGTTGTAACGGGTCATGTTTAGCACGTTTCAAGTCATGTATATACCGTCACCTCCTAGCTAGATATCAACACAGCGCAGTTTTCCATCGACCCGATAGTCCTATGTTATTGTTTACCGTAGCTATCAGTATTATACAGTGGCAGTTGCCGCTACATTTCATGTCACATTAAGGAACCGGAAGGGGCATCGAGAGTACAAGAAACACGCGTACGTTCCTTTCCCTCCGCTACCGCCTATTCACACAAAGGACTGATATTGAACAGACCTGTTATGACGCTGTGTGAAGAGCTGCGCATGCGATACATGTCCCCTGTGACATGATTCTTGTCACTCACGTTTGCAGATGGGGTGTTCAAGGATTTGGAGTCTTTCAACGACCTGGAAACTGTGCAGCCTGTCCCAGGTAATCTACTCTATAGAGCCAAGTATAAGCCCAAGATCCTGGAGTGTCCTGTCATGAGGGGTATGCGGGCTGATAAATTCATGTCCAAAGCCCGCATATGGACATACAACTGTTTCAACTCAGCATTAAAAGGCGCTGGTCAGAGAGCCGGCTATCAAGAGAACCTCAGCGCATATTGTTTCAGGCGCGCTTTTGCACATGCTGTCGAAGGCGAGTTAACTTTGGAAATTAATAGCGGGAGCTAACATGTGCTCAGGTGAAGCCACAGCTACACAGTGAAGGACGTTAATGGGACACAAATACGACGATACGGCTCAGTACTATGTCTCCGGTTTTATTGGGATTGATAGTCAATCCATTATCCATGGACGCAAGCAATGCCTTGAACTATACAAGGAATCCAGCTCTATGATGGCAAATCGCAATTTGCTTGCGCCTAAGCCACCAGGATCGATTCTCACGGAACCACCGTGTGAGAGGGTACCGCAACTCCCACAAGAGAAGGGCAAGAGAAGTCCTGATGTTATATCAGCTATGGCGCTCTCTACCACACAGGATTACGAGCTCCGGCGACAAACACGTGAGAGGGCATACCAGAAAGACCGTCAAGAATACCTTGAAGGGAAAGGTAAATCTCCGAGGGCCACAGCACCTACACTTGTCATTCCTTCCCGCGAACCATCCAGGTACCTCCTAGCTTTACTAAAGTATGGAAACAGACCACGTGAATCATCCATAACACAAAACCGATAAGAATTACGCCGTGACATGAAGGGAGCGTGTCCGTTGCTAGGAATAGACACCGGCCTACCAGTCATCATCCGGCTGGATCCCAGCGGTTGTGCCAGCAAAGACACCTTTCGCACAGAGCGATGACCCTGAGCGCCTTAAGTATCTTATTCGTTGTGCGCAGCGTGCTATACTAAGCCCGCTCTTGACCCGGAGGCATTTCTGGACCCATCTTTGGACAATAGTCCCATCCACAAGCCACTGTTCAGTCCAAATGTCGTGTGCATCTCTGTCTCGAAACCCGGTCTACCACCCTTGAACTTGGTTGGATCCATATAAATGAGCATTATTCGTGGGGCAGGGTTTACTGGAATATGTTTCTATAATCTATCTACACGATCAGACATTGAGATTTCTCCGAAGATCTCCGTACAATTGAATGAGCGTTGCTGCCAGAAGAGATACGCGCCTGTGGACGGAACTCTGCTCACAACTCTGGTGACACACCAAAATTTTGACATGCCGATGTTCATTGGCATGTTCATAGCTAAGGCGTCCATTTTCAACAGTACACTCGTGTCCATAGCCGGGCTTCCTGTAGTGTTGGGAACGGCCCATTTCTGCATGGTCTTTTCACCATACCACAGTGCAGTTGACATGTTGTGATCGGCTCTAATTCCAATGTGACAAGATTCGCAGTCTTCTTCGTGCTTCACCGCGCTGGTGATAGTGAGATCCAGCCAGGCAAAGGGCATAGTACGGTCATCAGGAAGGTCACGTCCCATGATTAACTCACGGTATCTGGCGTAGATTCCTGACTGCAACACCTGATCGAAGTTGTCGTTCTTGGCGAATTCCCTAAAGTGCTTGTTCTTCTCGCAGACAACAAAGTCGAAGTCCTCAAAGGAGGAGAGCGTATACTTCCGCGACGCAACATAGCTGACAAGGTTCAGGCCCAGGTACAGCTTTCTCCTTCCAAGGTTCATTAGGCTTGGGTTCTGAACCCAATTCATCATTGTGATTAGGTCGTTGCCCACGAACGAGACCTCAAAGCCATGCGAGAGTATCCACAGTAGCCAGCTTCTATCTGTGAAGATCTGCCTCCAGAGTTGCATATATTTCTGGGACTGTTTCTTGGTGATGGAGATGTCGAAGGCATACAGCAAAGCGCTCAGGTCCACTGGGGTGAGGGAGTCGAACAGCTGGTCCCCAAATTCGGGAGTTGCGCACAACATGCGCATAGATTGGTACACAAAGTTGCTCTTGTTCATGTTGAAGATTGGAATTCGATTGTAGATTGTTGGCCACATACAAGCATTTGAAAACCATGCTGCTAGCATCGAGCCTGTCGTATCGCGAGGTTGACACATTGTATGATTGGGTGGCCTTCAGCGAGCTTAAGTTGCCGGCAGAGCCACTGGCAGTACGCTGGTTGCCGCCGGTCTTGAAACTGTAAACGAGGAACGCACATGTGCTAGAGAAGCAGTTTACTAGAAGCAGTTCTGGGTAAGAGTTCGAGGATTGAAGACAGATCACAGCGTCATTCAAAGATACTGCGTGATCGTTATAAACATCCTTCGCTGCAACAGGTTCAGTGCAGTGGCAATGTGTTGCATCATTTTGAGCTGTATATTCATTAGGTCTCCATACAAAGTTAAGAAGCAGTCATTGCACGCGGGTGACCCCCCTCCATACGAGTCAGTCTTTCCCATCTTTTCCACCTTGACCTAGCGTTGACAGTCGTAAAGGACTCTGCTTAGAATTGAACCTCTTAAGATCGAATCAGACAGCCCAGGAACTGTCATTCCAGATGGTAAGCAGCATATGTTAAGACACAAAAGTGGGTCTGATCGTGAGTTTGAGAAGCCCAAGCCGGTCGGAAAATTGGGATCCGCAATACCAAAGTCAACCTTCCCAAGAGGTCCTAGTCAAGTAGGGTTGAACGGATCGCTGCTGGCTGGGGTTGTGGTGATAATCATTGTACTGATACTATCGCCGGTAGCTTTTATGCTTTACCAAAGCCGCAGACGTCGACGTGTGCAGGAACGAGGACGAGTTAGCAGCGGAATCAGGGCAGTCTGAGCTTCCTGTAGAACCAATACAGTATCTATAAACGTAACTTGGTAAAGTGGTGCAGAGACATTCGCCCGCGCTACTAATGGCAATCCAAGCGAGCCGGGACGCACGGTGTGGCGGGATACCTTTTCTTCTAAAGACTCGGATTGTCTCCAGCGCGCTGACATCTAGACAAGCGCGGCGCGCATCTATCCTGCACCTCTTGTTCTTCTAGCACGTCAGCCTCCGAAACGAAAAAGCGCGTTGTTGATTATGATGTCGCCTGTTCTGGTCGTGCCGCCTATCTACTCTTCTCCAACACCCCCCTGTTCGTTCGCGACAGTATACGTCTGTGAAAAGCTCGGTGGGCTACAAAAGAAGCCAGGACGGCAAAGATCAAGACTGCAGACTTAAAGGGTCGATCTAAGGTGAGGAGTGGGCAACCCGGCAGTTTCTCCGCGCGAACGGTAAGATCGTCGAAACGGGTCTCAACGGCCGTGCGCTGAAAGTAGCTCTTGGCATGCAGTAGCTTGCATTAGCTTGCATTAGCGTACTGAGATGGTCGCTGTAAGCTGTCGTACGATATTCGACAGTATGCTTGACGCAGAGCGACTGCTGGAATCACCCAATCCTTCATGTCTCATTTCTACTAGGTTCCGGATATTCGTGACAGACCTGTGTTAGAGCTCCGGGAAGCAAATGCAATGGATGAGGTATTCTCTTACGGTATGCCCCAATAACATAGAGTGAAAGGCCGATCAAAGGCAGCGACTGAATGTATTCTGTGTCGTTCATGCCGACAACGACGAACCGTGAACTGATCCATCATCGTCCTGACCACCGTCTTTCAATGTCAGGAATTGTTTGGCTAAATCTGACAATTCTTGTGCAACCGGGTCATCCGAAATATCGATAATGCGGGGAACCCACGCTGATTGAACCTCACCAATTAGGCCAGGATTTTCATCGGCCACTGACTGAGGGTCCTCTGACCCCAGTAGGAGCCCTGCTTCTTCAGGCCGAACCTGATTTTTGATGATGTGATACACTGTCTTCGATATGTAGTAATTGCGGCCTTGTTCGCGGAGCCCGCTGAGAGCAAGAAAAAGGCTTGACCGGAGATACTCAAGGTCTTCTGGACTGGTCTGATCGTTGATGCTGTGTAAAGATGAGAAGCCTATTTTCGCAAGCGGGGCTGTGAGCCAAGAGTCCGCGCCTACAAACCCATGTCGATAATAGTACAAACGTAGGAGGACGTTGATATCTCGTTCCGCAGCGAGAACAATGTTGCGAGGCTCAAGTCTGTCGTCCCACTGATCATGAGTGAAAGGCTGGCAGATAGTCATGAGAACGATATGGTAATCGAGGCTGGCGTGAACGTAAGTAAAGCTCTTGCTCTTTATGAAAGGCACTCACTGCATAAGGAAATGAGCCGGAAGGACAATATGCATAGGCTTGAGGACCGTAGGCAGGGTTTGAAACCACTCTAGCAGTCGACGTACAAATATCATCGCTTGCTGTGCTGGTAACTTTGAGTTCTTGCCAAATGATGCATGGCACAGCTCGCCAAGAATCACCCTGAAATGGGATATCGCCGTGAAATAATGTCCAAAGTGTGCCTGCGATAGTGTTGGGCTTAACGGGTATCTGGTCCATATCTCACCATACCATGTTGCTTCCACGGAGGGATCAGGAAGCCTAAACTTTGGCGCTTCAGACAGGAAGGGTGGGCGAAAGAATTGCCAGTTGAGGTAACTAATACTTAATGTTAATGTTCCCTGGTAGAATAAAAACACAAGGTAATTACCTGTCCGTGTTGAACAGACACCATGCAGTGAAGTTTTTAGCATGGCGTACTCGTTCGCACGTATCATCCGCATTTCCGTCAAATAGCAGCATCTCTCTGGCGATAGCAAGAGCTTGCAGCCCATAGAGATTGCCAAGCTTGTCCAAGCCGAAAAGATTGTGAACGATGTTGATCATCAACGCGGCCTGGATTGATGTGAGTGTGCGGTTCCTACCATTGATGGTCTGTAATTCCCAGATCCTCCTTGCCTCGGCGAGAAATCGATAACCGAGACCCTCAGGTTCCCAATATTTGAAGCGATTCGGAAGTTTTTTATAGCAGCACTACATGGTAGAATTAGAGCGTTGGTTCTTTCTGTTGCGGGCTTGACTTACGCATGCGTACGCTAAGGTGGCATTTACCAACAACGCTGAACAACAGGACATTCTCCGCCGATCTGATTGTGCAGTCGCCATGTCTTCCAGGAAATAGTCTTTGTGAAAGGCTGGAAAGAGGTGGTATTCATGCATAAAATACGCAGCCAGTAGATCCCGCAATAATGCATCGTCTTTGCAAACAGTAGTCCACTCAGATGGTCTCGCAGCGTTTAGTCGAGGTTCGACAAAAGCTGCTGCGTGGTAAGGTTTGACGTACTGGCTTTGATACACTAATGAATCAATGCCTGGAAGGATCCGTCGTTGAGGCTCTGTCGCTGTGACCTCGCTGATCTCTGAGTATGGGGCACGCTGCGAGGCCACTTCATAGATTGTTGAGTTAAGATAAGGACTCTCCGATACTAGAAGCCTTGCTGGAAAGTCACGGCTGTACGGAAGCTCGTAGCTGAGGCGAGTCTCTGGTATGAGGCGCATTTGCAACAGTAGATCACCGTCTCTGGTATAGCTCAAGATCGACCCAGCGTCTTCTCCAGCTCTTACGCGACGGAAGAGGTCAAGGGCATCCTGTTCGGGTAGCATTCTCATGAGACTGAGCAGTTCTTCATGCGTAGACTGTTTCTTTCGAAGATCTTCATACTTTCGTTTCGCTTGACGTGCTTCTGACTCTACGTACCTGCAGGTGGCCATGCGTGTCAGGCAGGCCGCGCATGTTGGTCGCTCGCCACTACACTGCAAACTAATCAGTACTCCAACGCATATCATTCTCTGAAAATCGAAACCTTGGTCTTGTATAAGCGACAAGCTTCGCATGCTTGGGCTCGTATCTTTCTCTTCTGCTGCGACCCTACTGGCGGTCCCCTATCTTGTTTTGTGGTTGCAGGTAATAGTAGGCGGAAGGAATGACTCATGTCTTACGTTTACACGATGGAATGGTTTTGTACGTATGAAGAAGACATTGCTCTTTGGGCTACGAGCCGCGGACGGATTTTGAGGTTAGTGTGTAACATAATGACGTACCGTGTCCGTGCGCGTGCCGACCGGATTCGCGTGCCGACCGCGATCACTAAAACACACCTATATGTTACGATCAAAGGGCAACCCGCAATAACACTGAACGAACAGGACTACGCAACGATACAAGAGGAGCCGAGGAACTGTAGTATCGATCGGCTCAAGCAGTGGGGCCGCGTCGGCGATACTCGGCACGAGCAGTATACTCGGCACGGTCAGTATACTCAGTACGCAGTATACTCGGCACGATCAGTATACTCAGTACGATCAGTATACTCGGCACGAGCAGTATACTCGGCACGATCAGTATACTTGGTACGAGCAGTATACTCAGTACGAGCAGTATCTCGGTACGATCAGTATACTCAGTACCGAGCGATCTGAGCAATCCTCTGCTCAAGTATATAGCAACTCGTCGCGAGTTATATGAGAGGCTCAGCCTTCAAGTGGATCAAGCCGTACCTCCAACAGTACAATCAGGGGCACGCGCGCGACGACGTCGACGCCTGGATGGCCGACTTCGACCAGTTCAAGAATAAGATCAGGCCTATCTTTGGAGTATCGAACGAGCCTACGATTGCGCGACGCAATATACAGCGCATCCGTCAAGACAAATCGGCTGCCGATTACGCTGCAGAATTCCAGCAGCTCGCTACTAGCACTGGCTGGGACGATACTGCGTTAATGACAATGTTCCGTCAGGGGCTCAAGCCTAAGGTCAAGGAAGAGCTGATGCGTACCGGCGCTCGCACTGACAATCTTAACGAACTCATAAATACGTCCATTGAGATTGACGTCAAGCTCTACGAATTGCAGCAGGAGCTACACGACAACCCACGTCACCGTGCTGTCAGTGTTGACAAGCGTTCCCCACGTCGCACGTGGACCGACAACCAAGGAAACCGCTACCAACCAAACACTGGTCGACGTGTTCACAACAACACTCGAAGCGGATACTATGGACCAGAAGCTATGGACCTATCCAACATCAACAAAGGACCAGAGCGTTGGAATCAGAAGAATAGGGGCAGCAAGCACGACAAGTCCAAGACCACCTGCTACAGCTGTGGAAAACAAGGACACTACGCCAGGGATTGTCGTACGAACAACAAGGTCGTTTGACAGTTAAACGTACTCACCAGTGGACAGGGTACCACTGACGACAGTGGCGAATGGAATATCCTCACTGACGATATGGGACCCCCCTGTACCGGACCCGATAACAAGTATATCGAGGCGTCCGATGAGGACACATCCCATAGATTGTAGTCCGCGAGGCATACGACAGAGCGCCCACGCCGTATCAGGGACACTGTAATGAAAGAGCGATAGAGACGAGCAACTAATGCAATAATCAAGATCTCTATCTGTCGTTCTATTCTACCGACAGATCCTGAGAATGGGTGTCCTCGCTTAGCGGGGTCTCTTTGGACACCCTTCGGTCTCCTAGTGGAGACCCTTCGGTGCAGGAGGGTTCACCTCCGCTTCTGGTTGTGTCCCTTACACACACCTTCTCTTTGTTGACTGAGTACATAGGCTTGTTACGTGCAAAACAAGCAGCTGAAGCTATTGCATTCTTCTCCATTGTACCCAAACAAGCGCGCCACTGGAAGTGCAGATGTGGCTCCTTGTCAATAACTTCGCTTTGCGACTCCGGATGCTGCTGCTGGCTCAAATGAGCGGCTGTGGCAGCAGCAGCAACACCAGGTGAGTCTCCTGTCGCAGCAGCTGGCTGCCTACTAACACCTTCTTCAATGGCTTCAGCAGCTTGCAACGCGTACTCCACCTGCTCATTGTCGTCAGCCGCCGCGTCAATTGGCTCCTCCTCCTCATCATCATCCTCGCCAAGTATTTCATCAGTGTACGCATCAGCCGCAAGCTGGCTTGCCTCAGATTCGAACAATTGGCTAGGAGAGGCTTGATTCTGCATGCCTTGTGGTGGAGTACAGTCTCGTGAGTGCTGCGGACGCCTTACTGTTGACGGTGGAGTAGGAGGTGCTGGAGGATTGACGCCCTGTTCAAACAGCTGGAGGCCAACGCTGACGTTTACTAGGTCTCAAGCCACTGCTGCTGTTTGGAGCTGTATTTTTCCGCTTCTGAGAGCAAGCCATTTGCAACTACAACACCAGAAAATTATTGTGAGATGCAGATTTGAGCTTCTTCACAGGTATTGGATGTGGTTGGGATACTGTTTTGCCTATAGCTAACAAATCGGATACAGTCGCATTTTGCCCCTCATCGGCGCTCCGTCACGTGGCGGGTCCGGTATTTCGAAAACAACCCATAGCAACACAATCGGCCAACAACATCTTCCCCTCACACCGTTCCCATTTGATGGTAGAGTCGTTGCATCGCAACAATCGAAGTCCTACGGTCAACCCACATTGGAACCCATTCTAGAGGACCCAACCAGCGGCTTGGTCAGCGCATATGACAGTCTATTCCCGCATTCTCAAGAGGTAAATAAGCAAGCCCAGTGGGTGTGCTCTTATAATAACGTCTTTTCTAGGAGGCTCTGTTGGCGTATCACGTATTCAAACAGCTACTACACCCTACACCCTTCCAACGCGACAAACGATGTGCAGAAGATGCTTGTACTTGTGCGGCTCGCTCCGCATCCAGCAGCTTGTGCTAGTGTAGATACGCGTCCATCTTCTCCGCCCGCTGCCCGACGTACGCCGCCAACAACGCCGTTATGGTTAATACCGCCGGCGTCGCCAACGTCTGCAGCGAGACCAACTTGATACAGTCTCCCATGGATATTCCTCCTGCTTTCCGACTTGGCTCATAGACCCTCCCGCCGTCCCGGACTGGGCGGCCATGGAAGCTTCGCATGGTCGGCTCGGCAGTATCCGTCATGCCGTGCTTGAGGCTCGCATCGGGCAGAGCGTCCGGCACGTCCGCCGAAGGAGCAGTGGTCTGTGGGATCTCCGCTACGAGCACGCGATACGTCGCGAAAATCACAGGCAGAGCGCAGCTCAGCAGCACGACCAGGCCGCCTATCCATACTTGTCCGGCACTCGAACGCGCTCGGAGCCGGAGCATCTTCCCGCCTGCCCGCCCTATCAAACTTTTGCGATCGCCGTAGCTCTCGCCTGAAAGCGTGCGCACTAGCAGCCCAAATAACGTGACAGACAGCACGTTGAACACCGCATAGAGGTCCTTGGCCCGCCGGTGCCCTATGCGCGAGACGAACGTCCGTTTCCCACCGGCGATGTCGATGTCAATGTCGTGTATGTGCATGACGAAGATCCTCGCTTGTTCGTAGAAGTACAACGCGCCAAAGAGGAGCCAGAGCGACTTGTCCAGCGTGAAGCCTGAGGGAGTGGGCAAGTTCGACGTGAAGAGGTCGGACCACGTGACTGGGCGGCCTGTTGAGGCTGTGTAGTGGCCGACAAGGCCGAAGAGGACAGCGACGGGCGAGAGGAACAGCGCAGAGACGAGTTCGCCGAAGCCGTTGTAGTGCAGGCGCAGCGGAGGCCCGACGTACGAGTGCGAGAGGATCGTGCATATGATGCCGAGGTGGAGCGCCAAACCGCGGAAGGGTGTTCTTGCTCCATTTCCCAACGATGCGCCAGAGAGGGCGGGGTCCGCTGCACGCGAGAAGATGATGAGAGCTACGAGCGCAGCCTGCCAGACCGCACAGCAAGCGAGCGCCGTCCACGGTGGAAACGTCCCATCATGAATGATCCTCGTGGTATTTCCATAAAGCTTCGAATTTGCCTGTTTCGCAGCTTCCTCGAGATCCTCCCCTCCCGCCTCTCCTCCCGCCTCTCCTTTGGCCTTCTTAGCAAGCGCCTCGCGCAGGTTGACGTCCCGCCTGATACTCTCCTGCTGACCTGGCGTATCGAGGGCATAGTCGGACCACTCGTTCCCGTAGTTGATAGCGACGTTGGTCCCCCACGTTACCAACATGCACTGTAGAGTCGCCCATCCGTTCAAGCCGCTGAAGATGCTGTTGTTCGAAGATGTCGAGGAGGGGAAGATCTGCGAGGCGAGCACACAGCCGAAGAAGGTGGAGAGGGGCACTTCGCACGCGAGCGGTATTCTCCCGAGAGCGATCAAGGCTCGGATCGACCCGACAAAGTCAAGGTCTTGCGGATCGTGCATTGCGGAGGTTCCACTGCTCGATCGACCTCTGCTTGGTTGGATATCAAGAGGCCTCGAGTATACTAAAGAGGGAGGAAAGAGTTACTGTTGCAAAAACACGGTTTGGCGATTTGTTCGCGTTGCGAAGTAGGCTACGTCATCGGCTTGTCTACGTGCCTGGTACTTGGAACGACGCGTCCGGGCACGCTATGACACCCGTCTTATGTGACGTCCTGTAGCAATTTTCCGGGACTATACTGGAAACAGCCACATGGGGTCTTGCACAGTTGTTCGAGCACTTGGAGTTTCGCGCGCCCACAGTTCACATAAACCCATGTTAATCACAATATAAATCTTTACATGATGCTTGACTAGCACATACGACCATAGGACGCTGAAAACAAGTAATCTGATTTGGCGATGCTAGATAGTCGGAGCCTTCGGCTCCAACATTGCAATATCAGCGCAAGGGAGAACGCAGGTTGATGGTCATTGTTCTCTTTTTTCATTCATAGTTCACCCTGTTTACAAGATCATGAAGACTGCTATGCACAAATTAGGTATTATGTTCCTGTGTTGTGTGATTTTGCATGACACCATTTGTCTTAGGATGAGTGGTCCTGCTAAGCGGCGATTGCTGCGTCAATGCGTCGCGCTACCTTCGCTCCCTGCCGACCAGGCCATATCATCGATGTCGCTATCTTTAGGTGCTTTGCGCTTTCCCGTCAATCTGCACGGACCGAACGGAGGAACGCCGTGAATCGTGGTTGCATGATCCCAGAATTCGGTTCCTGAATCCGTTTGCTCCTTGCAGAGTGGGTGCGGGCATACCAGTGGGGTACACACGGTACCGGTAGCGAAGTCCTCCTTCATGTGTTTGTGCAACACAAAAACATCGCTGAACTGCGCAAAACGCACTGCTAATGGAGCATCAGCCCCATGCAGAACAAGCAATGTGCTGCAACTACCACGACTCCACCTTCCTTGACCAGGCCGCAATCGTCGTTCATCACTTCAAGGTGTTTTTTGCGAAGATGCGTGCTCCATACGCGGTTAGAGCTACACCACACATCGTGTTCGTAGCAGTAGTGCATCTTTGTGTATGTTGTCCATTCACTTGGGACATTGTGCTCCTGCCAGATGTGGACTGCTAGGTCCTCGTGGCTGAGGAACACCTTCAAACAACCATCCCACAACAGGAGTTAGACCTTGTGGAGTATATAAAGCAGCTTACTACGCGTCATATACCTTCTAATAGACGTATGGTACGCAACTTTGCTTCATCGGTTGCCCAGAACCCTTGCTCTGATACCTGGATTACACGCTTCCTCCACCGTCACCGCAACCAGCTTACCTCTCAATGGACGACGGGAATGGATTCTAATTGCCACAACGCTGAGTCAGGGTATAAGTACAAGCTGTACTTTGACCTGCTGCAGCAGAAGGTTGCTGAATATGAGATTGAGCCAGAGCATATGTACAATATGGATGAGAAGGGCGAAGTACTAGGCACCGTAGCAGCCTAGCTGTTGGGGCAGCCGTTGAAGGCAACGCAGTTTTTAATGTCCGAGGACAGGCCAGTGATGACGTTTTTAGTAGAAAGTGCAGTGAGGCGGGCAGCCAGTTTGGTAGGGGTCCTCTTGCCCTCCAAGCCAAGAATGTAGGCAGCAAGACCAGCGACGTGGGGAGTAGCCATTGAAGTACCGGATATAGTGTTCTGTACAGTAGATTTAGTCTACGACTGACTTAATACAGTGCTGAATTACCTACAGTACCATTGTTCAACCAGGTGGTGACAATCGAAACACCAGGAGCCAGAATATCAATGGAAGAGCCAAAATTGGAGAACGAAGCGAATCCATCCGAGCTGTCTGTGGTACCGACCGTGTAAGCCGTGGCTTTTGAAACTGGTGAAGAGTTAGAAGCATCTTGAGCTTCGTTCCCAGCTGCAACAGCCATAAATACACCTGCGGCCACAGCATTGGCTGTTGCACTATTGACAGCTGTGCTCCTTGCTCCCCCAAGCGACATACTGCCGACCACACCGTTAGAGCAGCCAGCTTAGGTCTCTGAGTCATTCACAACGAAGTTGATTCCAGCAATAACACCTGAATTAGTACCCTGACTAAATCAGCTGTGGTCACGGGAATAACGGAAAGATCTGTGCATCTATAAGGTACCAAGGAATGTAGGGTGAGACGTACCACACCAGAAGCGTCAAGGACTTTAACAGCGAAGAGTTTAGACTTCTTAGCTACGCCATAGGTCTTAGAGCCTATAGTTTCGGCGCAATGAGTACCGTGCCCGTTGTCATCTGTGTTCGAGCCGCCTCCAGCGAACTTTGCGACAAATGTTGCACGGCCCTCAAACTTAGGATGAATGGTAGCAATACCTGTGTCAATGACGTAAACACACGTGTTGGCTCCTGCGGTACTGTCATAAGTGTATGAAACACTGCCGCGGGCCTTGTGTGAGATACGGGCAAGACCCCAAGTTGACGAAGACTGGGTGACATAGGCCTTTTTGTCTAGACGGTCGACCTCGCCAAGGCTGGCGGTGACAACGGCGTCCTGCTCAACATATTCTACCTGTATTCCGTTAGCGGAGTTGTATCTGAAGAATGAACAACGAGCCCTCTTACACCAGGCAGATGGCGGATCCGGTTGAGGATGTCATCAGTCATATCAGCTGTGAAGCCACCAAATTTGCCAAAATCGTAAACGTATATAGCATCTTTCTTTAGCATCTTGAGAGCGCCTCTTAGGATTAGTTGTGTCTCTGTATCTTGACAACGTATCTTCCAGGAATGGGAGAACCAGCCCGCGGCTTCATGAGCGGAGCCGGGAGAGCGTAAGCCAGGGCGAGCACAAGCGACAGAAGAAGTAAGAGCTTCATCTTGCTGGTGCACTGGTATGGCAAGTCTAAGAGCTTAAAAATAAAAACGCAGAGAGAGCTGCTTAGTGGAAATGTCGGCATTTTCCAAGTCTTAGAGCACATGCTGGGCTTGATCAGCATATGCTAACAGAAAGCTGGTGAAGAGGGTGTAACACAGCGAAGCTCACACTCATTCCTCTGACCTGTAATAAAATTTCACCCTATTGAAAACGAATTTTTATCTCTAGCGCTTTCTTTAACTTCGTTGCTTAAGCCCTGTATTCAAAGTACCGTTCACTTGACTATTCTACCATCAAGCAACGAAGCCATTGTACTCTCAGCTATCGATAATCATCTCTGCATTATGTGTCGCGAGATTAGTGACAGCGTTTAAGCGCGGGCTTTATCCTTGAGTTCTTGACTTGTATCACAAAATCAGCTCCACCACCTGAGAAAGGTTTTTGGCACTTACAGCCATTGAGCAGCAAGCGAAACAATAGCAAAAGCGGCTGCTGTTGAGGACAATGCAACAGCAACCCATCCGACAGCTTCAGTGTATGCCACCAAAACAAGCGAAAGGAACAAGAAGGCCGTAATGACTGAGACCTGAATCAAAGACGAGGCGACAAGTCCTAGACGCTCCCACCTTTGCTCCCGAACCCCCTCGAACCCAGCCGTAGGATGTTCGCGCTTGTAGGCGAGTAAGCTCATCGATACTGCCACAATGCCCAGCGCAACAATAAAGAGCAACCATGCGATGCCAAGAAAGCTCCGAACAGTCTCGCGGGCGAAGCGCGCAGTTGGACTGATTTCATTGGGGTTTGCGATCTCAGACACGATGATGGCGAAGGTTGAGGCGCCGAAGATGGAGAGGCTGAGAACAAACGAAAGAAATCCCTCGAAAGATTTGATAGTCTCCCGGCTACCACTGTCGGCCGAACTTTTTGGGTCCCTTGCTGAAGAGCTTGCTGGCATAGATGAAATGATTTCCGGGTTCTGTTCGTTGGAAGACATGGGCGAAGTCTAAGAGATTGCGGATCGAAAGGGAGAGGGCAAGAAACGACGGTTCAGCTGCTGCGCGAAGGCACACTAGCGGGCTTGACCGAGAAGCAAACATGCGCCCCCTAACTTAGACTGCAGAAACAGGACGCCCCTTCAGCTGGCATGGTGGCTCGGCTGTCAGCCGCTTCACCCTCGTGCGATCCTCATAGATGCAGAGCTTCTGCCTATACAGTACAGATACATTACACATATTGCACTCCCAGAGTGTTTCACATCTGCAGCACTATGGCCGAGTGGAGAAAGAAACTTCGATTGTGGGGAGACGATGCGGCGCACTCGGCGCGTCTGACAGGCGGAACGGGAGGCGGGGAAGGCCGCCCTCCGCGAGTCTTGTGGCTGCATAAGCCTGTATCGATGCCACGTGTGTTGGCGCAGTGCTCTTGCACTTTCCAACAAGCCCTTTCTACCTCTGTCTGAACGACATATACGTCATAAAAACAGACCCTGATGGCCCGGTGAGAGAGACAGAACACTGAACAAGAACACAACAATATATACCGATTTTACTGCTTCGCGCGGTTACCCCTGACTTACTGCCCTGGGCGGTTACACCTTCATTTATTGCATTTACTGCAACAGTTACCTAAGCAAAGTTCGGGTGGTCAGGGGTAGACTATCCGGGCGAGGCGGTAGTAGCCTTCGTAATAGTCGAGGTAATGGCCGTCTAGCCGGAGACCGTGACGACTGGGGGCAATGAGTAGTACAGAGTATACTGTCTAACTCGAGAGCGGGTGAGATTCCAATAGCAAAGTTGATTGACGAGGTTGAACACGATGCCATAAGGGCAGCGTGTCTACTTGCTATATACTTGAGCAGGAGGATTGCTCAGATCGCTCGGTACTGAGTATACTGATCGTACCAAGTATACTGCTCGTACCGAGTATACTGACCGTCCCGAGTATACTGACCGTCCCGAGTATACTGACCGTCCCGAGTATACTGACCGTCCCGAGTATACTGTCGCGGCCTAACTGCTCGAGTTGCTCGAGCGAGATTGATGATCATACTGAGTATCACCGACGCGGCCTCACTGCTCGGGTCGATCGATACTACAGTTCCTCGGCTCCTCTCGTATCGTTGCGTAGTCCTGTTCGTTCAGTGTTGTTGCGGGTTGCCCTTTGATCGTAACAGGTATCTATGGAAGCAAGCGGACTACGACATGGCGCGAGAAATGATCACTCAAGCGCTAATAGTAAGGGAAAGAGTGCTGGGACCGAATGAAGATCAGACACTGTTGTGCGTTGAGATCCTAGCGGGGGTGCTTTCAAGTCAGGGAAATCACAGTGACGCAGTGAAACTGAACAGGCGAGCTTTGAAAGGATTCAGGAAGACGCTGGGCTCACTGCATCCTTTTTACGCTTACAAGCATCAGTAACTTAGCCTTGGTGTTACAGCATCTGGGCAGGTACGAAGAGTCGGAAAACCTGAACCGTTTGGCACTCAGAGGAAGTAGAATGATGCTGGGATCATGCCACGCAGACACTCTGACAAGCATGAGTAATCTGGCACTAGTACTGCAGCACCAAGGCAAGTACAAGCAAGCAACAAAGCTGAACCAGCAAGCTCTAAGTGGCTTCCGAGAGACTCTTGGGAAGCGTCATCCTTCCACGCTTGCTAGTATGAGCAACTTGGCGCTAGTGCTTCAGTGTCAGGGCAGATACGAGGAGTCTGAGGAGCTGGCAAGGCGATCACTAGAAGGCAAAATAGAAGAACTTGGATGGTATCACCCTTCCACGCTTACGAGCATGAACAACCTCACGCTGGTTCTGCAGCATCAAGGCAAATGCGAAGAGTCATAGGAGCGTTACCGGAGATATCTGGAAGGCTACAACATATGGCGTTCAGCGTACGGCCTTCGTACGTGACTTGAGTATCGAGCATAGCAGACATACAAATTGCAATACAATCCATGACATCTTAACGTGTATTGAGTTAAAGTGAGGGTGATCCGGGGGTTCAGGACGATCGGTCTAACTCAGATTGTCAAAGAAGGTTCCAAGATCAGACGCGATTAAAATCAACTCCACAAGAGATCAGTGGAGAGGTTGTGATGTTACATATTGCAAACACCAGCCGCCTTTGGTGCTCTCATCAACACGAGAGGCCATCTTGAGTCAAGATCCCAGAATCCTCAACACGAACTCATACACCCCCAAAGTCATCACCGCTGAAGGTATAGAACGAGCCATGAACGCGCCTCATACGTTCGGTAGCAGCTATCTTATGGTGTAAGTCACCCAGAGATCGCTGCATTAAGGACCCTATCCAGAACCCTCGTGATCTGCGGGAAAAAGACGTTCGCACCCCAGGAAAAGATGACCGCCAGCGCTGATACAAATTCACTGGCATGGCGATCTAGTGTGGTCCTCCAGGCTCCCAAACATGCCATATGGTGCAACGGAATATTTTCCTCGTCCGTTGTTTGGTAGTGGATCCAGAGTTCGTGTATAGCGCCCTCAGTCGTACAGCTAAAAACAATGCGTGGTGCGTCGTTCTCGGGATCTTGCGCTGCGAGAGACGCCAGCAGCCTAATTGCACACGTTCCACCTCCTGCGGCTTGGTTTTGTGCCCCTATAAGGTTGCCATCAGTGCTCAAACCCTTAGCTTCAATGATGAAGAACGGAAAGCGCATGTCGCCTTGTGTGGTGTGAGGATCGCTGAGAACCACTTTGTGACTTTGCCAGTAATCAAGTAGGGGCGCATGATTGCGACTGAAAGCCTCCCGAGAAATCCCAACAGTGATATCTGGTTTTGGCGTCGTGATTGTACCGTCCACATCGCTGGCGGACGAGGGCTCGCTTGGCTCTGTGGACACAGGTGGGGAGGTGAGATTGAAGGGAATGCTGTCAGGTCGCACGTGGATGATGTTGGAATCAAATGAACTTTGACATGATTCCAATGACACGTGCTCTTAAGGTTTCGAAGCTACAGCGTTTGCTGATAGGGGTGGCCAGGGCAAAGCCAGTATAGGGGTCGGATTGGGTGGTTTGAGCGAGGCGAGCCAGAGCTTGTCGCTGCAGTTAGCACTGAGGGTGCGGCGCCAGGGTTGGATTCTGGCGAGTTTTTCCACCACGTCACCGTAGAGATGTGTCCTGTATTCTGGCTCAGAGCCAGTTTTCCTCGCCAGCTCGCGGCACTCGTCTCGATACACAACTGCGAGCTGATTGACCTCACTTGCCGACCCCGCTGCCCAAGCTCTACTGCCATTGTGTTCGTCCGCAGGTTCATTGTGTGTGTGATTATTGGTGAGAGGAGCAATCTGCGGACGGTCGAGAAGATCGCGCAGTCCTTCCGGGAGGAGCGCTTCGATATTGGGTGGGAGATCATGATCACCGTCAACAATGATGTTCGCAGGCTTCAGCACGGTGTTGCGATATTGCGAACTCTTCTTCGTCGGGCTGCAGGAGCGCGAACGTCTCTGCATCTTCATGTTACGTAGTCTCGAGCTGTCTGACATGGTGTCCAGTACCTGAGCATCGACCGAGGGAGAAGAGACAGGAGGTTCGATGCAAGGAGAGCGTGTTGAGACGTCATTGACCCAGCTGCAGATGGAAAGGGCGCGCTGCGCCCAAGGTGTGCTTGCTTCCTCGGCGGTGAGACACTGCGCAAGGCTGAGGTTGGGTGGGGACGAGGTCGAAGGCGGGGTAGATGTTGCCGCTGGCTCCAGATAATTGCTGCAATTGTTCTCGAGCATCAAACTGGGCAACGAGGCGCGACGGCGTTTACGCGTCGTGTAGACAAGCTCACATCCTGCGCGCTTCATCTCTGCACGTGTCCTAAAAGGGACGTAGGTGAAAGCGCAGGAACAGTGAAAGCGATGATGGTAATGATGGTCGGCGTGATTGTGGATGTTTTGTGGTTGTCGGGTCAACAGCAACCTAGTGAACACACTGCGGCACTTGGCGTTTGTCTGCAGACGGAATAGCGGAATTCGAGCCTGGCGAGAAAGGCGGTGAGTAGGAAGAAGCTGACGTTGCGCACCTTCTACTTTGTACCTCTCCCTTTCATCCATCAATCAACCATAAAACTCCATCATCATGTCTGACCAATACGACATAACACCGCGCGTGATCATCGCTCGCCATGGTAGGTTCCCTGTCTGACTTGCATTGAAAGTGCACATAGAATCCAACCTCTACGACAAGAAGTTTGTTAACGATGCATGTTCTACAAACAGGACAGACGGATTGGGCTAGGGTTGGCCGCTTCACGGGCACTACAGATATCGAGCTGACCCAAAAGGGCATTGGGCAGATCTCCACTGCAGCGGCGACGCTCGTGGGTGCTGGCAAACTGCTAGACCCACGCCGCCTCACACACATCTATGTCAGCCCCAGGACGAGAGCTGTAGAGACCTTTAAGCTGTTGCTGCCACAGTACTCCGATTTCGTTCCAGGGAAGGTTACCTTCACCGAGGACATTGCGGAGTGGGACTATGGCAATTACGAAGGGCTCAAAGACATGGAGATCAGGAACTTGAGGAAGATGAGGGGTCTGGATGGGGAGAGGGAATGGAACATCTGGACAGACGGATGTGAGGATGGAGAGTATGTTGTGCACTGGTCTGGTGTTTTTGATAGGCTGTTGCTAATACCTTCAGGTCATCGCAGCAAGTTACCGAGCGGCTAGACAAGCTTATCCTCCAGATTAAAGAGATCCAGAAGCCTTACATGCGTGGCGAGAAACCCGCTGATGTGCTTGTTGTACGCTTTCTTTCAGTTTATGCTACCTCTGCAAACGTTGCTTCAGCTTCGCCCACAGCGGCTAACGTACGACAGGTCGCACATGGTCTGATCCTCCGCGCTTTTGCAAAGCGCTGGATCAATTGGTCGATCGATCGAGATTTGCCAATGGAGATACAACCGGGAGGAATTGCGGTTCTGAGGTACGTTTTTTCTGATAGGATAGGTTACAATAAGCTATTAAGCCAATATTAGGCTAACTTTAACCAAAGTTATAAAGACAATGACACTAACAAGCCGACTCTCAATCTCGGCTTGGCGTTGCCGTGAAAGGAGGGACTTGAGTTTGACGAGAGTCTACTAATTTCCACTACGAAGGAGCTTGTACTCTTTAAACGCTAGGGCCACCCCGCATCGCCGAGGTGGTTCAACACTACCAAAACAACGCGTACTCACATACTTTGAGCCTCAAGATCTCAATGCAACCATGCCTACTAATCTTGGCCCTCACCAACTCCCCAAACGCGAAGTAGGCCTCGGTCCTGCTCGAGCAGCATTGGGTACTCTGACACCTCGTGGCCGCCTTCGATCAACTTCTCAACATATTCGACGTTCCGGCAGAAGTGCCCCATCGAGGGCCACTCCTCGAACAGTTTATGTGCTGGTGTGGTGTGGTCGCTCTGTAATCCGCTCTTCTCCTTGGGTGGTAGTCCCGTTGCACCACTGTGCTCGCTTCTGGCGCTGTCAGCCGGTGTTGCTGGTTGCTGAGGAGAAGCAAACATGGACTCTTGCTTGATCGGAGTCAATGCTTGTGATGCTGAAGGAGACATCTGTGAGTGTGGTCTGTTGGGTGCTGTGAAACCTGCTTCTGGCGAAGCAAGGTTCGTGATCTGGTTCGGGGTTTGGGTCAAGGGGAGTCTGGTCTCGACGCTCTGTTTCCATGAGGTGAACTCTCCTACAAAATTCTTCAGTACTTTGCCAATATCATTTACGCTCTCCTGAAGTTGCATCATGCTACGATCTTGTCTGTGCTGTGTCAGTAATGCTGTTTGTCCGAGGGTTTGTCACATACTTTGGAGGTGACATTTCCTTGTACTGGCAATCGAAGCTGTTCTCTCTACAGAACTGGCATGGTCTTGCTTCGTCACACTTCTGTTTGCGTGTTTGACAGTGGTTGCACGCCTGCGTGGCGCGAACCTGTTTGCGCCTTACTTGCTGGCCAGCTGCACCTGCATACTGGCTCATGTAAAGGCTCGGCGCAAACGAACCCTGGTAATACTGGGGAGCTGATAGAGATGGTGCGTGGTAGACTTGTTCTGTGTTTTGATGGCTTTTGGAGTCATCGAATATCTGCCTGTCAGGGTGGTGTGTAGGTGATGTAGGTAGTTGCGGCGGTGGACGCGTTGGAATTGATGGATGCGGTTGTTGCTTTGGGTCTGTGGAAATACAAGACCCAGCGTGAAGCAGAGTGTGCGTGTAAGAAGGGGGTTCCATAACTGCTTAGACTGTTGCACAATCTCCGACCCAGGCAGACAAGGCAACAAGAGAAATCAGCCTTGAAAAAGAGGCAGACAGTGAGAAGACAAAACATAGCATTACTAAGATTCTGCGGCACGCATTCCACACAGTACTGTAAGACCAGCGATGACTATCGGTCATTAGCGCCGTGCATGCATAGTGATGCAGTTACCCTGAGACTACCACGCAGGTTACAGCGGCAGACTCAAGCAAGGCAGGCTGGTCAACCTGTGTGGAGGCGTTAGGAATGTACAACTAGGAAACAAGACGACCGTTCATCCGCAACATGGGCTGCAATTCCCAAGTAAACTGCAGTCCCCAAGTGAAATGCAAACCAAAAGCGAGAGGCTGCATGAAGCTAAGACAAAAGAACTGGTAGAACCACGCCATATACACATCTCCTGGAACGCAGAGGTCCTCCAAGTATCGTGCGACAAGGTCACAAATTGCGGGTAAGAAACGGATGTTCTCTAGGAATCTGTATCGTGACGTTCGTACTCTTCAATTTCTCCATGGCTGTAACCTCGCATGCACACTCAAGCTGGCCCTGTATTTCTCTGCCGTGGACTTCAAGACCTCTCGACATTTGCTCGTAAAACATCATTGAGCGTACACCGATATCTGTGTCCCATACAGAATGAATAGCAGTCCCAGCATAGAGGTTACTGGCATGGAGTTAACTTGTTCAGAGAAACCGTTCGCTGGAACAACAGAAGAAAGTTCTGACAAAAGTCCTTGCGGACCCGACCATAGGGCTTGCCGGAAGGGTAACAAGACAAGCGCTCAAACTACTTGAGATGCTGACGGCTAACAGCTAAAAGCTCGCTAAAAGTCATTACTACCTTGTATAACAACACATACAAGGGAGTGCTGACTTGTAGCAAGTGACCAACCTGTCGTCTGGGGTGATGTTGTTTTCCATTTTAGGCAAAATCTTCATCTAGCGCGATGTCGCATAGGTACCTTGCGTTTTGCAAAACCCGGAAGTCGATTGCCATCTTCACTCGTTGGAGGCTAGGGTACCGGTAAAATAATGGGCGGAACAGGGATCATGCAGATTGTCCGCGATTTAGCGTTGATAGTGTGCATGGTATCCGCGATTTGGCAGGGAGTGTGCATAATGTCCGCGATTTAGCGTGGACAGGGTTTTGCGTGATCTCGTTATCATTTTTGCAGCCCGCGCACTGTATCGCTTCTTCGTACCTGAAATACTACGTACAAGCGCATTGCCCTGCAGATGCAGCGCTAGAAGCGCTTTGGAGCCTGCTCCAAGCATGCGGTCCTTTTGACTTTTCCGAGCCGCATTTGGAAGGAAAAGACACCGTGAGTTGAAAGGACATTGCGCTGCGAGGACGTATTAGCTACAATGACGTGCGTGGGGAAATGTATTGTACTGTTTTGCTTTGACACCAAGTAACTGTTTTCCTAATTACATATCTTGCACGGTAATGAAACAGAACCGTATAAAATCATTTTAAGGTGAACTTAGTACGAAGCCACGTCATCCCATATCTCTCAGAGCCATGTACCAAATCACATCGAATGCCGAAACTAGGCACACTGAGCTGCGAGGGCCGTTCATCGTGCAGAGCCGTTCGTGGCCAGGATACGATCGATCCGCGCTCGCTGGGCTTTCGTATCGGCGGTCTGCGATAATAATTTCATGAACCGAAGCATTCCTTCCAATACGTTATTTCCAAGATTCCGCCCAACTCTTGATTAAGAGGCGTCTTGCGTTCCACTCCAGTACCCTGATCAATGCCTTTTATGATTTCAAGACACGAGACGAAGAGGACGTAAAGGAGGTTATGCTCCGCTTGGACAACTCGCGAGCTTGGGAATTGGCGCGAGGTTCGCCGTCTTGGACTGTGCCTTTGTCAATATGCAGTAGGGGGCAGACTTGTTCACAATAGAAGATCTCGAGTAATAGAAGGTGAACTTGCGCAATGGACAGTGTCTCGAGTAAGTCAGAGTGGTTATGTCATGTACAAATGTGGGATCGGGTCACTCCACTCCAGAGACTAGCGTTCTTTGCGCCTACAACCGGGCCGAAAAGCGGAAAATAAAACCACCAGCATAGAGGAGCAGCACTAGAACCAAAACATCTTTCTCGACTCGTATCACGACTTTCTGACGCTAGTATCACACCAGCAATGACCAGATCGTTTTTCTCCACCAACGAAACGACGAAGAATTTATTGGCTATTGTATCTCGTGTTACTGGCGGGGTGTTAAAGAAGAGCAGTTTTGTGTAATGGGTCTCTCTGGGCCTGTCTGGATAGGACACACCGTCCGACGCTACATACAACCCTACGCTCAACCCTACGCTTGGCTTCGTTATATGTTCACGCGATAGTGCGGGGTAACTATCTTTGGAAATGTCCAGCTTTAAAGAACAAGAGAATTCTGGTGTTAGCTTCTTGGGAAAGTGCATTGTCACTGCTTTCCAGTCTTGGTCCATCTGCACATTCTTGATTCTCTTCGCCATGGCTTCACCAAACATGCTAACTGTTCCTTCTAGCTTAGCGTGTGTGAACTCGTACCATGATTCAGATATGCCTGCTGATCCTTGACTGGACTCTCGAGGAGCCCATACAGCTTTAGGTTTCCTCAAGTTTGCAAAGAACAATCCAATGCGAGGATCTATGCCACCACTCTTTTCTCTAGTTTTCGTAGCCAAGCCCGTGAGAATAGCTTCCTTTGTAGAATCAACCTGATATCTTGAGAAAGCGATTATACACAGCTCGTAATAAGCCCCATCAACCTTGTTGAGGAAGCGATAATATTTCCGTTCATATCTGTTTTTCGCTATTTTCTCTCTGTTGGCAATTACTTCTGCTTGGCGCTTGGATTGGACATTAGACAGGAATTGTGAATACACAAGATCCTTTTCCGTTGTTTTGAGTTGTCCCCAGGCTGAATCGACATCTCAAAATCCATTTCGTACATCCTTCCGTGAAGCAGGCATGGTGTGATTTGAGCGTGGATTTAAGCGTAGGGCTGAGCGTCAGGTTGAGTGTTGAGTGAAGCGTTGGATTGAGTGTAAAATTAAGTGGTAGAGTTGAGCGTTAGGTTGAGCATAGATTTAAGCATAGGGTTGAGCGTAGGGTTGAGCGTAGATTTAAGCAATAGGGTTTAGCGTAGGATTAGCTGACCAAAATAGCTGAGCAAGAAAGGATATCATCACAGCATAAGTACGTGGTGTGATAGGTTGCAGGAGAAGCACGGGAACTCATGAGCGCCACGGCGCGTACCCACCCGCGACGTCTTGACAAGTATTGCCGCTGCGCTATAGTGAGGTAAGCGCCACGCAACAGAGCAGGGCGTACTTCGGGTCAAGCTTCAAATGACACTGTTTAAATTAGTCAGCCTTGCGATCTGTTCTTAGTCGGTCCCATACTGAACAGCACGCCCACAGTTGACGGATGAAAATATGCTTGGCAGTGGGGTAGGCTTTCTAAGCCATCTCGCTACCCTTAATCAAACTAAAGTTTACTAACAAGAGGAGCATGTATGCATCCTCCCAAAAGCGCGTCAACACTATAAATATACCCTGCAGGTTGGCTCGGTCTCCGATCTATACATTACCCACTAGAGCGAGTGCGCAGTGTGTGCGCTGCACACCCCAGGTCACGTTTTGCATAGATGTTCCACACACACTATTACGCTACATTTGAATGATACCTTCTACCGGTAGAGACAACTTTCCAAAGAAACAACATCACGAAGTACTTCGTCTGCAGAATTGTATCGTCCTTCCCAACACTTCCACACAATTGTGCCACCCAAGTCTGCCGCCAATGGAGGGAACAGGCCCTCTTGGTAACGGCGCAAGAACTCCGCCTCGTTGTCAATGGTGTGGAGTTCTGGAAAAGGCCGATGGCCTTTCATAATGTGGTATATTGTGGATCCTAGAGCAAATATGTCCGTCCTTGCATCTGCAAACTCCTGGTCGTGTCGTGGCATAAATGACTCTGCGTTTTCAGAAGCCCCTCCATCGCAAACAGTCTCGCCGTCAGGCCCTAACAGTCGGCCCTGAAAGTCACAGAGCTTGACGTGTAGCTCAGCATCAAGAAGAATGTTCCGGACGTTGATGTCGCATATAATCACATTCTTGCGATGAGCATAGGCGACCCCTTCTGCAGTCTCTCTAGCAAATCGAAGCTTCTCTTCCTTCGTGAGGGCTGTTCTGTTCATGTGGCTTTCCAACGATCCATTGGGGGCGAACTCCAGAAGCAGTCCCGCTTCGTGCTTGCCCTTGAATCCGATGATGCGAGGGTGATTGCCAAGTTGCTCGAGTATTGCACACTCGACGTTCAGAGCGTTCGAAGGGTTCTCATCATGTGGGTACTTTAAGACAGTCGATTCGTCGATGAAGCCGATGTAGTGACAACTGCCAGTAGTGATAATGTGCCGAACCCCCTCAGGGAAGCGAGGCGTAACGTATATAACGTCTTCTAAATCTTGATTCATTGGTGAGACAGGCAGCCAATCGTTGTTTGTAAAGGGCCCAGTATGAGTGAGGGTAGTTTGAAGTCACTGGTATAGAGTAACGAATCTTATACGAAGAAGCTCGTTTTTTCTGACCGAACACCCGAGGCCTGTGCACACCCCAACAAGATGTTGCCTTTCAAATCCCCCATACCAATCACTACCAAAACAGTAAATCATTAATACATTAAAGCAATTTAAGCTTAGAAAAGCTTTTTGTGGTATTTTGATCTGCACATAGGCTTATTTCTTGGTATTGCAGTCACCCATGGAAGTTGTTTTTGCCATGATGCCTGATAATCCGCCGCACCTGCTCTAGAATCCCTTCCACCCATTGATTGATCACCTCAATAGGCATACGCTCCCATTGAGTTACCCATTGCTGCTCACACTGATTGGCAGTACAGCTAGGAGTGAATTGCTTTGTCACATGCCTCCAAATCCACGGCCAGGCATGCTCAGATGCGTTGACCTCCGGTGAGTGCCCTGGCCACCATAAAGTGTCAATCTTCTCCACAGTCAGGTAGTCTCGAGCGATGCGTGATTTGTGAGCAGGAGCGCCATCCTGAATCAGTATACTGTTACGATCAAAGGGCAACCCGCAACAACACTGAACAAACAGGACTACGCAACGATACGAGAGGAGCCAAGGAACTGTAGTATCGATCGACCCAAGCAATGGGCCGTGTCGGCGATACTCAGTATGATCATCACTCTCAGTTGAGCAACTCGAGCGACTCGAGCAGTTAGGATGCGTCAGCGATACTCAGTATGATCATCAATCTCGGTCGAATCGAGCAGTTAGGCCGCATCAGTATACTTGGTACAAGCAGTATACTCGATACCGAGCGATCTGAGCAAATCCTCCTGCTAAAGTATATAACAAGTAGGCACGTGTTGCAATTTGTGCCTTAAGCAAAGCTCATAGACACTAGTCAATTGGTTCTTGGGGATGAGCAGAGGTACAGAAAGCCGTAGGGGTTGACAGTCACCTAAGCAAAGCTTGGGTGGTCAGGGGTAGACTATCCGGGCGGGTTGTAATAACCTTTGTAATAGTCAGGTAGTCGTCTAGTCAAAGACCGTGGCGACTGGTTGCAATGAGTAGTACAGAGTATACTGTCTGGCTCGAGAGCAAGTGAGATTCCAATAACAAAATTGATTGACGAGCTTGAACACGATGCCATAAGGGCAGCGTGTCTACTTGCTATATACATGAGCAGAGGATTGCTCAGATTGCTCGGATTGCTCGGTACTGAGTATACTGATCGTACCGAGTATACTACTCGTATTGAGTATACTGACCGTGCCAAGTATACTGCTCGTACCGAGTATACCGATCGTACCGAGTATACTGCTCGTGCCGAGTGTTGCCGACGCGGCCCACTGCTCGGGTCGCTTGAGTTGCTCCACTGAGAGTGATGATCATACTGAGTATCGCCGACGCGGCCCACTGCTCGGGTCGATCGATACTACAGTTCCTCGGCTCCTCTTGTATCGTTGCGTAGTCCTTTTCGTTCAGTGTTGTTGCGGGTTGCCCTTTGATCGTAACACCACCACCTTGGACGTACAGTACAAACCACCGTCGCCATTCCCTTTTGAGAAAGTAGAAGAGACTTCGAAGCCGCTACTGCCTAAGTTTCGTGAGGATGATTGCGATAGTATGACGACTGAGACTGAAACTAAGAAGGGTAAAATCCAGAAGGCTGTGAAGGACTTCTCGATGAAGTTCACCGCTGTCACATCAAAATCCTAGTCTTCTTGGATGATTCTGTAGTCTCTTTGTTCTGCAGCATGCAATTCTTTGTTCTCGTTCACCACGAGCTCTTTATGTGTGATCATGCTCTGCTTGCTCTTGTACCTCACCCAAAGTATAAGTACTCCCAATCTTTTCATATTGGATTGCCAGGTGAACATGTCGCACCTCCTCCACGTGCCTTCTGGTACACTGCTTGCACCTTTGCTTTGCACAGTGCCATTCACTTCATCACAATGCCACCCACATGGGCACTGGGAGTAGACAATATCAAGTTCTGATTTTTGACCGCACTGTGGAGGAAGTCAGCATTGTATATACAGAATGTTTCTCATACCCTCATATACCCTCCAGACTAAATCTTTCGCTACTCATCCAGAGACATCTTAAAGGCTACAGCATCGATAACCACTTAAAACACCTCCGCAATAGCACCATTTCTTCTCCAACCACCACCACTCCCACGTGAAATCCCTCCTTTCTGTGCCCTGTCGCCACCTTCATGCCGCGCCGCATCTCCATCGGGCACAACGCCCACGCCCGACCGCCCCCCCCCCCCCAACTCACGCACGACATCCAAGTCAACATCCGTCACGTCCTTAAAGACCTCCGAGCTGCACCGTACGCTATATGACTACGCTGCCGCAAAGTCGGCGACTAATTCCACGTTAGACCAGTTTGTGTCTGCCGACTCCAGGATGCTCGAAACCCGGCTTGGATTGGGAGCAGGGCTAGGTTTGAAGGCTCTGCCGTTAGAGCTCATGTTAACGAACACACCTAGTAGCGAAACCGCAATTAGCCTCTAATACAGCCATCATGCAGTTTCGAGACACAGTGCAACGCACGACTATAGCTAACGCGAAAGCTTTCATGCCATAGAGACAAACCGTCGTGCCACCCTCTAGCTCCGCAGACCCGCCGTTGATTCCTCGTCCGACCCACCACGTTCTCATGCTGTCGAGCACATTGCGACTGATACATATACCAAGCCGTAGCCGAATACTGCTTTAGCTCGTTGAAGAAGAATATTATGAGTTGTGTGGCGTCTAAAGAACAGTGTGGGCAAGTCTCACACAGCGGGCATAGCAGGAGACAGAGACTAACTAGTATGGTACAAAATAGTAAGATGCGAGTCTAGGCTTCGGCAAGCGGAGTAAATGCTAGAAAGACGCCGTCGTCGTTGCACGCACGCTCAAAGGGGGAAATAGTCTGCATATTATAGGGATACAGCTGTCGTACGGCCACACAACGAACGGCTCCTCGCACGAGCACTGCAATTATCAGGACATTAGAAAGGTGGTTCGGTTTAGTCTCTGAGGGCAATAAGGAGTTCGGATCGTCCATGCTCATGAGCGCTGGGTAAGGGTAAAGCAGAGATCTGATAGTAGCCATGCTTACTATGGTACTATGCTCTCTAAAGCTGCATACCGTTCTGTTATCGAGAATGACCCTTATGTCTCTTCGCAACGTTAGCCAGTGCGGAAGATTATGGCAAGGGTGTGGCAGGTGCGGGTTGGCCATCTACTTAACTTGCGGTGGCAAATTTGCCGCACGTTGCTTTCATTACAGCGTCATAATGTTGCAGTAAATGCAATAAGTGAAGGTGTAACTGCGCAGGGCAGTAAGTCAGGGGTAACCGCGCGAAGCAGTAAAATCGGTATATAGTGTTGTTCTTGTTTAGTGTTCTGTCTCTCTCACCGGGCCATCAGGGTCTGTTTACATGACGTATCTGTCGTTCAGACAGAGGTAGAAAGGGCTTATTGGAAAGGCAAGAGCACTGCACCAACACACGTAGCACACACGACCTCTATACTCCATTAACCGTCACACATAAGCATCGCCGTCAGCGTTGTGTTTAATAGACTACTATTACCGCCAAGACATAGGCTTTAGAATGTAGCTATCTTCTTTTAAGGACACTAATTAGCCAGCCATGCATGCATTCCCTCATGATGACTTGGCACCCCATGCCACTAGCAGCTTCACCACCGCCTCGTGGCCTCCTTGTGAAGCCGCCTGGAGTTCGTTGCCATAGGCTCCACCCTGCACGTTGACCTCGGCGCCCTTGTCGAGCAGCATCTTCACCACCGCTTCGTGGCCTCCTTGTGAAGCCGCCTGGAGTGCGTTGCCATAGACTCCACCCTGCACGTTGACCTCGGCGCCCTTGTCGAGCAGCATCTTCACCACTGCTTCGTGGCCTCCTTGTGAAGCCGCCTGGAGTGCGTTGCCGAAGTATCCACCCTGCGCGTTGACGTCGGCGCCCTTGTCGAGCAGCAGCTGCACCACCGCCTCATGGCCTCTAGCTGAAGCCACTTGGAGTGCGTTGCCGTCTTGTCCACCCTGCGCGTTGACGTCGGCGCCCTTGTCGAGCAGCAGCTGCACCACCGCCTTGTCGCCTCTAGCTGAAGCCGCCTGGAGTGCGTTGCCGTCTCGTCCACCCTGCACGTTGACGTCGGCGCCCTTGTCGAGCAGCAGCTGCACCACCGCCTCGTTGCCTCTAGCTGAAGCTGCCTGGAGTGCGTTGCCATAGGCTCCACCCTGCGCGTTGACCTCGGCGCCCTTGTCGAGCAGCATCTTCACCACCGCTTCGTGGCCTCCATTTGAAGCCGCCTGGAGTGCGTTGCCGAAGTATCCACCATGCGCGTTGACCTCGGCGCCCTTGTCGAGCAGCATCTTCACCATCGCTTCGTAGCCTCCTTGTGAAGCCGCCTGGAGTGCGTTGCCGAAGTATCCACCCTGCACGTTGGCCTCGGCGCCCTTGTCGAGCAGCAGCTGCACCACCGCCTCGCTGCCTCTAGCTGAAGCTGCCTGGAGTGCGTTGCCATAGGTTCCACCCTGCGCGTTGACCTCAGCGCCCTTGTCGAGCAGCAGCTGCACCACCGCGTTGTGGCCTCCTTGTGAAGCCGTCTGGAGTGCGTTGCCGTAGTATCCACCCTGCGCGTTGACGTCGGCGCCCTTGTCGAGCAGCATCTTGACCACCTGCTCGTAGCCTCCTTGTGAAGCTGCCTGGAGTGCGTTGCCATAGGTTCCACCCTGCGCGTTGACCTCGGCGCCCTTGTCAAGCAGCAGCTGCACCACCGTCTCGTGGCCTCCTTGTGAAGCCATCTGGAGTGCGTTGCCATAGGCTCCACCCTGCGCGTTGACGTCGGCGCCCTTGTCGAGCAGCATCTTGACCACCTGCTCGTGGCCTCTATCTGAAGCTGCCTGCAATGCGTTGCTGTAGTCTTTACCCTGCGCGTTGACGTCGGCGCCCTTGTCAACCAGCAGCTTTACTACCTGCTTATGCCCATTCTCTGCCGCCAACAACAGCGGTGCCTCGTCATCATCATTTGTGGCTTGTATATTGGCTTTTTCCCTCAGCGACTTTTGCGCCGTCGCCTCTTGGCCATGTCGGGCAGCCCACAACAGCGCTGAGCTTCCAGATTCTTGTACATTGTAGCGGTAGAGGTAGCTATCTAGAAGACGGTAAAGGCGATGGTTGGCTTGTGCAACGGCATTGATATATCTCTCGGATGCTAGGTATTCTGATATATCTCGGAGCAACTCATTTGATAGATCAAGCAGTGGCATTGCTGAAGTAGCACTTGTCTGCTTTACTAAACTCAAGGTAGTGATGAAAACAACCGCCTAGCAAGTATTATAAGCAGGGGTGAAGCGGGCAAAAATTCCAATTCAATAGTAGGCACGTGTTGTGAAGAAAGCCCAAAAAGAGAGAGTTGAGGACGATGGTGGGGCAAGCGGCGGCAGGGTGACTAAGCCACCAAGGCTCAGCATCATGTAGCCCTGCTCCCAATTCGAGCCGGTTTTCCGGTGTCCTGGAGCGCTTAGCAAAAGCGCCACACAACCACACAGCCACACAGCCACAGATCTAGTGTCAGCGGCGATAGGTTACCGCTAAGCTACTTTAAGCTCGGTGTGCGGGGCCTCTTTATCGGGCACTTCTAGCAGGCGGACTTGGAATTGTTGTCTGTTTTGAGCGCTACAAAATACCGGATACGGTAGAATTAGGGATTTTAGTGGTGAACGACCAGGAGACAGCAAGGCTTCCCATTCGCTCAGCCCTATTTAAGCAACGTACCGGCGGATCAGTAGTTAGGTGGTGACCACTAGCGAATACCTGCTGTTGTATGTTTTTGCCTTTTTGCTTCTGTTGATACTTTTGCGCCATCTTGTCAAACTGCTCGAATGTATTCTATAAAAAAAGACATTTCCTCTACATACGACCATAGGATGTTGGAACCAAGGCTTCCCGTTCGCTCAGCCCTATTTAAGCAATGTACCGGTGGATTAGTAGTTAGGTGGGTGACCACTAGTGAATACCCGCTGTTGTATGTTTTTTTCTTTTTGTTGCATCGAGATCTCGTCGTTATATCTACACCGCGATACAATCGGGATCAGCGTCTGTTCAGTAGTTCTGGTGTATACTCGAAGCAAGATGGGCATGGCGCATACCCCACAAGGCCGTATAGTCGGAGAAACATTCATACTGGGCGAAGCTGTCATTAATGGATTGGGTACTTCTTTCGGTAGCATGGCCGGCGCAACACCTGCGTTATATCATCACCCGTCCTTGGATGAAGAGCGTGTCAAGCTAATCAGCGATTGGATCAAGGCGCGGGGTGCCAGTCCAAAGATTGAGACTTTCAGTGAAACGTTTAGCGACAGCGGCACTTTCAATGTCGACGCTTTGGCGAAGCCTGGTTTCTGCACTACACTCCTCCCCTCTGAACTAGTGTGATGAAGAAACATGGGGTAGCGAGACCGATAGGGACTCGGATGGTCTAGAGGATTGGACATAACCGACAAGTATAACGAGCCTTGAGGCGTGAACGGACCAAAGACGTGCGAAGCGGAGCGATTTCGCTCAAGACTCAGTTCAACGGGGATTCTTAGACCAGAGCAAGTGCATTTTTCGCACATGCATCCCTCCTACGTTGATATGATCAAGGGCCCGTAGCAATCAGTATGGTTGCTCTTCTCCACGACTGCTAATTATCTCTGTAGCTGCTCCTGCTGTAGTTGCTTTTTCGTTGCTGCTCCTTTATTGTCGTTGCTCCTTCTTGCTACCCTCGCACCTTCTCCTTCCTTCACTACTACGCGATGGTTTCTTCCTTGGCACTAATCAACTGCATCTTCTGTTCTTTGGCGCACGTGGCTCTCAAGCAACAGATTTTCCCAATCCTCCGCAGCAAATCTGGTGTAAGTATGCTTGCTTCATCGCTCCGCTCCTCCGCTTCGCAATTAAGTGACGAGAATGGGCTTGGGAAGACTTTCGGTGGCTCAGCATATCGCTCCATCTACCGAGAGCCCTGGGGTCTGCTGATACTGGACTGAACGAGAACAAAAAGCGCAATGCTGGCGTGAGAGGGAAGCGCGAGCCTGCAGAGGCCGGCCCCCTAGCCTTTGACACCGCTTCGTAACTCCACTTGTATCACGAGGCAGAGGACGAGGGACTTGTGGCGGAGAAGACTAATGAAGAGAGGACGGGCTAGATCCTGAACCCGAACGTCCGTGTATGCCTCTTGTTCTTGCATGAGGACTGAATGGGCAGATGGAAAGGCTCCTCGCGGAGCAAGAAGAAGAAGAAGAAGAAGAAGAAGAAGAAGAAGAAGAAGAAGAAGAAGAAGAAGAAGAAGAAGAAGAAGAAGAAGAAGAAGAAGAAGAAGAAG